TAAAAAATAAATTTTTGTTGGGCCCCCCCCCCCCCCCCCCATAAGATTGTGTATATGCATATATATTTTATCATCTTAAGTGGCATTTATGTTCATCTGAACTTTCTAAGGAACATGTTAGTTATGATAAATTGGCATTTTTAAAGCTCCGAGGGACTGGCTGCCAGCTGTCCAAACAAGCCCATGTCAAGTTTAAATGTGGAATCTCTCCACTTTAGTGCCATTGTTCAGATTAACCTTTACAGATTCGTGTTGAAAACCATGGGTGGTGGTGGTTTTTGGCCGTACACTTGAAGACAGATGCCAAAGTCAGAATATGAGGCAGAAACATTTAAAGCAGACGGTCAATGCAACATGATACAGCTGACTAAAACATCTCTGTCAGTGTACTCTCATTCACACTCATGCCAGGGAACAAGCATTTGTTATTTTTTCTGTCCTACACAGAACTGCAGAAATATACTGAATGAAAAGTGAGACATTCTCGGCCTCTGCCAAAATAAACGTCAGAGCGTCAGATCCTGAGATAAAACTAAGAAATAAGTTTCGGGTTCTTTGGGTGAAAAAGTCAGACAGCTCATCAATCTGATTCAAGTCACTTGCCCAAATTGTTCACAATATGCACGACATGAGTGAATCTCACAAGAACGCATTACAGTCATATTTCACTCCACATTTTTCAAGTCTATTATTTGTACAACATTTGTAACTGGAAAAAAAAAAAGAGTATGTGTTTAGACTATTACGTTTTTTTAAATGACATTTTTTACATTGTAAAATCAGTTTCCACTAAATCTCCAAACGTTATTGCAAAACTTGTTTTTAAAAGTAAGATTTAATTGTCAAGTATTTATACATCATGGCAGTTTGTAATTTAATGGTAAGTTATTATTATTTAATGGTTAATAGTAAAATGACCCAGTCATGTTTTTCTGAGATTCACACACATACAAACTTTTGAGGGAAAACATCATTTTGGTTTGATCAGATGTAGCAAAACATCCACTAACAGATGATAAAACTGTGCTTCTACCTTTAAAGATCTGCAGCATATGGCTGAAATCTTTATTTCACATTATCACAGAGCTCTAAACTGATCCACCACTGCATTGCTTTGAGCAATCATGTCTTCTCAACTAAAGAACAAAGGCATGTGGACAAGATGATGTGAGAAAACAACAGTCCTGGTACTGCAAAAGAATCCTGAGATCGATGATGCTGCATTTTGACCCTTCCAGTTTCTGATCGCTAACCGTACGACCGGAAAATTCAGTTAAAGCTCAATGGTGAAATGCAGCAGAAAGAAATATAATATTCGATTCATTCATTAGGACAAACATGTGTTTGATTTAAGCCAATGAAATTAGTAGTGATCTACAGAATGTCATAGAAAATACAAGCACCCCTTATCAAAGTAACTTTTATAATCATTGACCAAAAATGATCTTTTTTTTTTTTTTTTTTTTAAAGAATAGGCCATTATATTACTCATATTACTCAAATCAAATATAACTGATAAAATCAAAAATAAAATAAATTTTCTAGAACAAGAACTGTTCAAGAGTAAGCTGTAGTCCTAAGCAGTCCTTATAACTGTGATTTTTTTCTGTCCATTCAGATTTTCGAAGCAAGACAATGAAGATGTAATAAGCTCACACAGAGATGTGTTTGAAGGCCGCAAAAAAAAGACATCATTCCCTTTGCTTTTCTATTCAAATGCAGATCAAAAGAAGGCAAAACAGTGTGAGAGGTAAATGGTGCAAGAACCGAATGACTCCAGTGAGTGGCAGACGCAGAGATAAGCAGGATGCACCTCTCCACCCAAACGAAACCAGAGAGGAGAGCATGAAACGGAGAAAAGGGGGCCTGTCGATCCACATGGATGGGGATATCATTCCATTCCACTTCGGAGTTCGTCGAAACACGATGATGTCCCCTGCACAGAGATGTTAAATGTGTACAACAGGACAGCATTGTCATAGCTCACAAAAGGAAAGTGCTTGTTTGTGTTCTGAACACCACGACCTCACGATCACACCTAGTTCTGTTCGTTCATCAATATCCCCGTTGGTTTGTTTGATTACTATGAGCCTGGCGGGCTGTGGGCGTCTCCGTCGGGCCACAGGGTAGCCGGTCGTCCTAATAAAACAGTTTCTGTTAAGGAAGGTGGTTGCAATTGCTCGCTAACTAAATTTTCGTACTCGCTACTGTCCTCGTCGTCATCCTCCTGGTCTTCCTGGCCGGTGGCCTGGCGGTTCAGGGAATCCGAGCTCGAACCGTCTCCGTTGCCCAGGCCCAGACTGGGAGACGGGTGTCCGGGCGAACCTACGGCTTGGGGCCGCGGCAGCAGTATAGCGCTTGGTGAATCTGGAGGCAGTGTGGTGCTGTAGATTGGTGGAGATGACGAGTTCACGGGTCTCTCTAAACTGGGCTCTACCGAGGGACCTGAGAGCACGACTTGAGTCAGTGAAGAGTGTGAAGAGTCAGGAAGGGCAGAGTTATCGGGAAGCATGACAGCAGCCGCCTCTTGGAGTCCTGTAAGGAAAAAAGAGGGTAATAAAAGGAATTGCTTCCTTTTTTTCGTTAAACAAGCAACAAATGCGCAGAGTCATCAGTACGTACTTCTCTCTTCCTCAGCGCTGTTACGTTTCCTGAGAGTGATTTCCTCTTTGAGTTTGTTCACTTCTTCTTGGATTTTCTCCTTCACTCGTTCACTTTGATCTACTTCACAACACACCGCCTGCAGGATGACAGAAATTTCATTAGGGATGCATGATATTATTGGAACGTCTTGAAATGTAAACATCGGCATCATCCCAGCTCAAGGTGTGCTAGTGATTTTTAGAATTTTTACAGCTCTTTTGCTTTAGACCATCTACAAATGTTAAATCTTCAAATAAAAAGTTAAGCTTACAACTGCATCTGTCAGGGGGAAAGAAAAAAAAAAACGGCAGTGATTGATTTTATTAGTTATTTTCAAAGCTCTCAATGTACCTATAAAAATAGCTTTAATAATATTTATTTAGTTCTAACAAGCAAGTTTTTGCTCAAAACAATTTGTTCATAATCTCTGCACAGGACAGACTTGGTGTTGTTTCTAAAAAAAGGAAATGGATATCGGTATCGGCTATGGTGCATCACTAAAATTCATAGATAGCACATTCTGAGCATAATTGATTTAAAACATTTAAATGCTATTAGACATAGCAAATTGTGGTGTATTTTAACCAACATCTATCTGACAGTTCAGAAATATTATAAGACTGTAACTCACCTGCACTCTTTCTTGAAGGGCACTGTATACTTGAAAAATAGCTCGAATGTCCTTCATCACCCCATCCTTATCAAAAAACTCAGTCCTATAAATAAAAAAATTAATTGGATATCACCAATTCAAGTATTTACTGCAGCAAAAGTAAGACTTTGTTTTACGTGCTGTGCAGTTTAAATTATGTAAATTAAGAAAAACTTTATCATGGTTTCTACAAAAATATTGAGCAGTGCAACTTTTATCAACATTGATATTATTAAGAAATATTTCTTGAGCACCAAATCAGCATATCAGAATGATTTCTGAAAAAACATGCGACACTGAAGAATGATGCTGAGAATTCAGCTTTGCCATCACAGGAATGAATCACATTTTAAGATATATTCAAATAGACATGTTTTTAATTGTAGTAATATTTCACAATATTACAATTTCACTGTATTTTTGATCAAATAAATGTGGCCTTGATTAACAAAAGAGGCTTCTTTAAAATCCTACATTTTTGAATGGTAGGGCAAAATCAAAATAACACAATTTGCTAAAAGCAAGGCTAAAGAGGAATATTGAACGTTGCAGTTAGGTTGCCTCACCCATGTTCTTTAATGACACTGGTGTAGTTCTTGGAAGTGTTCGGCACAGATGAGACTTTATATTCCTGTTGACTGGTGTTGCCCAGGTTTGGGATGCTTAGAGATATCCTCTGATTATACTTGCTGAGATAAAGATCAAAATTGCAACAGAAATGCTCATAAACACAATATCAGCTACATCACACCATTTGCAAACATTATGCATGGTATTATGAAATAACAATATGAGAGACAAGTCTCTAAACAGTTAAACAGAATCATGATTTTATCATATTTTGCACATTTTTATCCCACAGTATTACATATTTCCATAAGCATGTATTAACCAGCATGTACATACTTTCTGTTGGGCCTGAAGAGCACATACTCCAAAGCATGTGTGGAACTATTGGCTGTGGAGATGAAGCTGAACAGGAGGAAGACCAGATCTGGGATGCCAAGTATATGGGTCAACTGCTTATGGATCACCTGCTCCCTGAATGACATCTGCTGTTGAGTGTTCCTTCTAAACCGGTACCAGCCGATAACATTCTGCTCAAAAAGAAGAGACATTGTGAAGTGGGTCGGCTGAATTAAACACACAAAGTCGAACAGCAAAGGACAAAGAACCTGTCAAGGTACCGGTTAATAATTTATTAATTTTACTCTCTAAAATCGTTATGCATATTTCATGATAACTGCTTACTTTTCTCCTGTCCTTGAGGATTCTGTTGAGATTTTCTTCATTGACGTTACCTGCATAGTCATAAAAGCTGCAACAAACAAACAATTTTGCCGTTAAAACACTTTAAATGGTAGTGTATATTTTTATTGTAACATATAATAAACATTTAAGAATGCATCTACTAAATCCAATTGCCCATGCAGGACATTCTTACCTAAACAGTTGTGTACAAGGTTCATGATTATGGACCTCTGAAAAACAAGTGAATGCGAGTGATCAATTATATTCAACATCTGAGTAAAGCAAGCATGCTGTGATTGTTCAAAAGGTCTAATTTAAATATGAATAATATGCATACAGACAACATTAACCTTGGACTAGACGAAGGAAAATATGTTAGCAGATTTGTTCTCTAAAAACTGTAACATGCGACGTGGAATCTCAGCCATCGTGATCTGAAGGTTGCCTAGAGGACAACATGACCTTCATAATGACTCATCTTACTGCAAATATAAGGTACTACTATCTGAGCCCGCTTTTTATGTTGAAGGCCTTTGTGAAATTCTTTGTAAAGTGATCGGAGATGAAGGGGTCTTGGGAGCAGCGCCAAACTCAGAAACATGATCACTTAATGTTGGAGTGGAGAGAAACTATTTCCAGCATTTCTGAGCCAAAAAGGTCTACATTGATGTATGAGGCTTATCTCTCAGGCCTTAATCAGGAATGCTGGCTGACACAAACTTAAAAACACAAAATTGGGTGGTTTATCAGGTTATTGACAACCAGGACAGCTTGCGACAGTACTTTGAATGGTTGAGACTGAACAGATTACATCAGCCATATCTTGAACTGATAAAGTCCCTCTGCTCACACAGGAAGGTTGTCACGTCCTCACTGTGAAACGTATTATGTCTGTGATTTGAGCCTTCAAGGGTTTCAGTAATGGGATGCATCATGTTTTGATAATGCATGATAAAATGGTCATTAAAAACTCTACATTTTGTTTGTAGCTTTGGGACAGTAAAAATAATCAGCCATGGTTTTACCTATTACATTGAGGAATTCTGAGCTACCGATGTGTGAGTCACTGATGCTTAAAGTCTCCTCCTGTCTCACTTCTCCCAACAGGAAGCCCTCCTAAAAGAGGCATAAAAATGGTATTTCAAAGGCAAAGACAGTGTAGTTAAGATTGAATGTTATTATTACTGTAATAGACACTTTCAATAAAAGGTACAAAATAAGGCCTGCAACTGTTTTAAAATGACGTAATAATTACTATTATTATTAGGCCTATTATTACTCAAAATGTGGGATGTCTACATACAGTTTAATAACCTTGTATGATTTAGCAATTTCTTAGCATTAAACATGAAATACACATAAACATTAAATATGCAAATGTTAAAAATAATTTAAAACTACAAACACATTTATTTATAAAAAAACAGCATTCCAACTTTATCATATATTAAGCTGCCCTTTAGGCATGGCTTGCTAGTCTGTGACAAATGTTGGTTTTTAGTTATTGACAAACTTATTATAGTAATGTAATTGAAAAAAAAAAAAACATTTTTCATTTCATGGACATTTCATGTGTTTAAAAAGCAAGCAAAACCTAATCTGTACCTCTAAAGGTCATGGTATACCAAAATGAATATACCCAGAATTCATGCAACAAATGTTACAAAATAGACAAGTTTATACAAGGAGGTATAATTTCCCAAACACTGCTGCAAGGAGAGAACAACAGAAAGACTGTTCTCCAGGCACACGACACAACTTCCCTGGCTGTTTACTTGTTCAGTTTGAGATCACACTGAAAATGCTGATTATTCTTTCCAATTCAAATAAAAATAGGTTAACCAATTTGGTTTAGTATCAAAAGCCCACATATCAACACCATGTAAATGAACAGTCTATCCCATAAACAAGCTCAAATCAAAATGAAAATGGCTGTCATTTAGATGTTCAATAAGGAAAAACAGTAAAAACCGTCATATCTTTGACTGAATGAAAACAGGTTAAGCATAACACCCGACTAACCAGCCCAAATCAACTATGCGAATCCTGCAGGGTCAAGCAGATCACCCACTTCCTAATTCCCCAATGACTACATTAAAGGGCATGACACAAAGAGCAAAATGGGCTAGAAATGTTAAGCAATTCATTAAATATGTCTGTCCGACATTAAAGTTTGCATTTGACAGTTGTTGCTGACAAACAAGTTAGCCAGCCAGCTAACGTTAATGTGACTATCTCGACACCTCGACATCGACGAGATTGAATTCCCCGAACGCTAACAGTTACTGGGCGGTGTACATTTATGACAGCGAGCAATCATACAGTGAATAAACGGCACTGACACTTTCTGACAAGCTTGTAAAATCTTTCGGCTTGTAGGTTTGCTAGCTGTCACCCTGGCTGCGTCTCAAACCCCAGTGTGCTGCCTACCTAGACCGCATTCGGTTTATCATCAAAGGCGTGTACTGAGTCAGCTTTATTCGACTAAAGATATCTGGCATCAAATAACAAAATTCCCGAGGAGTCGGCATTTTCAACGTTCTAATACACCTTTGAATGTTACAAAGGTTGTCTAGATAGGCGGCTCACCAGGTTTTGATACACAGCCCCTCTGAAGCCACACCAGGAAGATGACACCGGGAAATGAATTAATTGTGATTTGATGTAATAAACTGTTTGTTGTTTCGCTATGCGATCGTGCCCTTAAACATTTACCCTCAAAGTCAGATGACAGAGTACTTACATGGTCGGAATTGCTGTTGGCACTGTGATAACACACAGAACTAAAAGTGTATCCCGAAATTGACGCCGCCATGATGGAAACATACGCGCCGAGCCCACAATCCTTTGCGCACGCACTGTAGCCCATGAATAAACAAAATGCTCACCCTGTATTTTTTTAAATGCTTGACTGGATGATTTTTAAAAAATAATATAAATAAAATGTTATAAATAAAATAGATGTATCTACTTGTTATTTAAAGAACAATAATTAAACGTTATGAATGACACGTAAAAATGTAAAACTACATGCATACATGTTGTATAAACCCTAATATTTACCTTGAAACAACAACAACAGCGTCTTTTAAACTTTCATCTGTCTCTGTTTTTAGTATAGAAATAAGTGACACACATTGCGTCCTGGCTGTGGAATGATGTAAAACATAAAGTAAGAACTGTTATGATTTTGTACACAAAAAAAGTGCCAAATGTGTCAACTGTGTGATGCTTTTATTCATTTAAAAAAGTTTTTTTGTTTCGTTTTGCATATTGTTTTAATTTATATCCGTCAATCCGTTTATTACATTTTTATCGATTTGCTTTCAAGTTTCGAGTACCTTTACCTTTATTAAAAACCTTTCTTTTGAAGTGTTATGATTGTCACGTTCTGCATTACGTCAGCGGATGTTGATGAGACGTCATGAGCGCACATGGGGCAGAAGGCTGTGCGGGGCAGTGCACAGAATTAGAAGATGAGTTTGCGCCTTCAAAACTCGGAACAAAGGACTAGTAAGAGATTTTACTTGATTAGTTAGCCCTTCTAGTGTCGATCTCATAGAAGACCAGCACATGGGTTACACGTATGCTTCTGCAATACCTCACATGAGTACTGTATATTCCACCCTGCAACCGCTGCAAGTGAAATGTTACACCTTTATTTGTTAAATAAAAACGTAGGGTCGTTTTGAGTGATTACTTTCAATGTAGTCAGACTTTTGACTTGAGCTTAATTTTTCTGGCCATTCTACCGTTTTCCTTTAAGCTGGGATGATGCTTATAAGAGAGAGCTACAGACTTACAAGGATATTGGAGATGTTGGAGAAATATGGTAATTTAGCTTTTTCTTTGTGCCACATACTTGTTTATGAATGCCCTTTCATACTGATGTTCTTCTTCGAATGAAGTATAGTGTTTCAGTGCTAGTCTGTTCTGGAAGAGTCTGAACCAGCACCGTCTTCTGGTGTATATTAGTTGTGTGTTTAGTCATTTAGGACCGAATGAAGACTGTAACTAGTATTCTTCTGGTCCACCTTTAGGTTTGGTGAGGAAAGCATGGACAGAGTGATCAGATGGATGGAAGCACAAAATGTACCTGAAAATGCTGCCATACTTGACATTGGAACTGGAAATGGGATGTTTCTGGTGGAACTGGCAAGTCAAGTTCAATTTAGCTCTGCATTTAGTTATTTACTTTATATTCAATCATTCTAATTAATTATTACTAATTAATAAATCAATTATATTAATGAAGTGAACAGTATTAAGTGAGTTTATACATAAAACAAGAACAAACATCTGTCAGTAAGGTATGACTCCCTTTGAATTAAGTTGAATTTTCAACTTGGCTGATATTTGTTCATGTTTTAAACATTCTTTCATTCTTTCTTTCTTTCTTTCTAGGCAAGTTAATTAAGAACAAGTTCTTATTTTCAATAACAGCCTGGCAGGAGAATTAAAATCCCCTGAAAAACATATATTTCAATACATAAAAGAAAGAATAAAATCTCAGTTAAAATATTTACATGTCGAGGTCAGAGCACTTACTAGCAATTTTTTAAATGCACATACTGGAATATTTCTCTGATTTCAATAACTTTTGTAGCACAATACAATCACTTGGGGCAGCAAATTCAAAAGCGTAAACAAACATTAGTTTCTCATAAAACAAGAATTTTGATGTAAAAGAATTTTAATGGTTATGTAAATGTATCTTGATTTAGGAGTCTTTAGAGAAAACAGAAAAAAGACAAAAATACCAATGCTAAATTTACTAAAGATGCAAAATTTCATGAAGTTGTATTTTTAAACTTTGTAGCATTGCTTGTTCAAGACATTGACATTATGATTATTATCACATTGAAGTATTATGTTACAATTTATTCAATTTCATACTCAAATTTTCTTTACGTGATCTTAAAAAGGTCTTACAATGTTGTCAAGTCTTTACCTTTTGCAGAAACCCTGATGATGTAAATACGTATGAATAATAATCACATGAATTATCCTTAAAGGCCAAGCATGGTTTTTCAAACCTCACTGGAATTGACTATTCCAAGGCTGCTGTAGAGCTCACCGTAAATATTCTGGAGGAGGAAGGCTTAAAAAATGTTACAATTCAGGTAATGGAAATGATTTGTTTTTAACATACATAAATTAAGTAAATAAATTAATTGCACATTTAAAAAGAGCACAGAATAAAAGGGAATGTTTATATGTCTTCGTGTTTTACATGTCCTTTCAGGTGGAGGATTTCTTGAACCCCAGCGCAGAATTGAAGGGTTTTGATGTATGTATAGATAAAGGCACATTTGATGCTATTAGTTTGAGCCCAGAGGACAGAGAGGAGGCAAAAAAGCTCTATGTGAACTCTTTAAAAACTGTAATGCAACCAGAAGGCTTCTTCATCATCACCTCCTGCAACTGGACCAAAGAGCAGCTGCTGCAGATCTTCAGACCTGGTACCTTAACATATTAGCATATTCCTTCAACTAATAATGTTTCAAATACTGTAATGATTGTAATATAATTGTGTTTCTTGCAGGGCTTGAGTTGGTACGAGAGCTGCCCACCCCCCGTTTCCAGTTTGGTGGTGTGACGGGTAACAGCGTGACAGCTTTGGTATTTAAACGGAACAAATCCTAAAGTTTTTTAAACGTTCCGTTTTTTGCAACATCAGTTATGTACTTTTATAATAAATTGTTTTGGAAAATTATGAACTTGTTCTTGTTAATATTGAGGTAATACTAAGAAATGTTATTACCTGTTACATGTGGTGGTGTACACATGAGGGCAGTATTGAACTACATTTCATTTGAACGTTATGTCCGTTTTTATGAAGTGGATGTGTAATGTTAAGCACAAACATGGAGTAGTTAATTGTTGTGTATATACACTGTCAGGTAAAGTAATTTTTTTGTTTTTCTATATAGGGTATTATCTTAAGATTTTAACAATATTTTTTCTTAGGTATTTTTAACATATTTTTGGCTTTGTATGCAGTGTTTTCTCTGAAGATTAGGGCAATGATTTTTTTTTGTCTTTACATGTAGGGTTTTGTCTGGGATTTGAGCAATATTTTTACTTGCATATTTTAAAAAAATGTATTTAAAGTTGTCTTTTCTTTGTTTGTAGAGTTTGTCTGAGGTTTGAGCAGTACCTTTTTTCTTATTTAATATTTTTTATGTATTTAACGTTATTTTTTGTCTTTGCATGTAGGCTTTTTTCTGAGATTTGAGCAATACATTTTTTAATGTATTCTAAAACTGTTGAGGCCATACAATGGAATTGAATGTAATGAAAATGCCAGCTGTAGAAGTGAAGTGCGGTAGAATTTGTTAAATAACTTTTACATTGCCATTTAATTGGTTGTTTTTAATGCCAAGTTTTCAGGCAGCACTGTAAAAGCCAAGTTAATACCAAATTATAAAATCAATTTAACTAAATAAGCAATATTGTCAAAAAGCCCCTTTATTTGTGCTCCATAATTTGTTTATCCATTTACTAAACATCCAGTAATTGAGCTTTTTTCCTAGCAGTTTTCACGCACCAGAGCTTCACCCCGAAGCTCTCAAGCACTCTTGCTAAGTTCTTGCGCTAGTGTGAATGTGCGTCTGTGTCTCCCACTGAAACGACTGAACGTTAACAAATGTATCTCGCTTAATACTTGGTCACGCTATTGACACCTCAGGAATAGCATCCATACGGTCTCTGTTACCTCTCTCTTTCTTGGGGATATTTCTTTTTCTCTTGGTCATTTTTAAGAAAAAGTCTGACAGCTGCACCTGATAAGAAAATGATTGAGCTTCCAGGACACGACTGCTACCACGGCAACAGTGAAAGAGCAATAAAAGACTGGCTTTGGGCCATGATGCTGTGGTACTTTAAAGTGAGAGAAATCCCCCATACCTCTCTGGTTATTACCCCGTCCCCCAGCCGGAGAATGAAATGAAAAACAAAGACCTGAATTTAAATCTCTCTTGGCACCTTCCAGAGATGAAAACAGAAGTTTACATTATATAAATGGATTGAGGGTGCGAAAACTTCACTTTTTTTCCGTGCATCAGCATTTCTTGTCATTAAGAATCTGAACGGACAGAGTATCCAGACAGCTCTTATTGAAGCAGAGATGCTGAAGAGTGAATTAATAGTGTGTGAGATCGATGGCTAGCCAGTGTACATAAATGTGGAAATCAGCTGTGAAGTCCGCAGGATTGGATCAGCTGTAACGTAGCCACTCAAACACACGGTGACTTTGAGCTGGTTAGGAGCTTGCAGGCTCTTTTTTGGAGCACTAGGACTTGCAGGATTGACAGATGGTCATTATTATGTCTTAACTTATGTTAACTTATGCCTTAATGCCTTATAGTCTTTTGTTTTCATGGACAAACATGTTTTTAGGTAAATGGATGCATTTGAAAAACAAAAATAGCCAAGTAAAATATGTCTTTTTCACTTCATCAGAATGGTATGAAACTTGGGGACTTCTGTGACACTTGCTATAAAAGAATACACAAACACAAAATTGTGGACATGATTAGAAAAAGCTAATTGGTCTTAAAAATAGTCAGACCTGTGACCTTTGTGGCAAAATTACTGCCATATGAATGGGCAGAGCATATTGTTTCTGAAAATCCTCTTATAAGCAACTAGGGAATGCACATGTGGTTGCATCATGGTATTTTATGTGGTATGGTATTACATATGATTTTCTTTATTTCTCCAAGATGAGAATGATACAATCTGCCTTCCATGCATTGGAATACCTTTTCTCTATGTTTAATACCTTTGCTGCATTTTTCTCTTAAATACTGTATTAATTAAAAATAATATAATTTTTCC